TTTGTGTGCAAATAACATGATATTATATACAGATAATAAAGTTGATAACTCACTACAGACCCCACAATAAACTTTGACCCTGTGATAAAAGTTTGTTGAAAACATACCCTGATAACTTGTATGTAAATAACATGATAATATACATACAACAAAGCTGATAACTTATTTAATCTAGACGTGGTAACTTTTCGACCAGGGAAAATGTTGTTAAAAAATACATCCCAATAACTCATGTGTAAACAACATGATAATACACACAGCTGAGAGCTGGTAACTCATATACAAATATCGCGGTAATTTTTTGACCGAGGGAATGAAAATTGTTGAAAACATGCCCCGATAACTTTTGTACAACATGGTAATATATACAACAAAGCTGATAACTCGCTGCAAACATCATAATCATTTTTGACCTGGGGGTAAAAGTTTGTTGAAAACATACCCCGAACCTTTTGTGTAAATGACACGGTAACTTATGTATGACAGACGTGATAACTTACGTAGCCCAGATGTGGTAACTTTTGGTCCGAAAAAAAATCATCAGAACATACCAACATGGGATCTAGTTTCGAAAATCTCGTTGTGACGAATTTTTTTGTGAAGACGGTTTCTTAATCGGAGTGATGGTTTGAGCTACAAAACATTTTGAAATTTGAAAAAAAAAAGAATCTAGGATAACATCAGCGTTTCTTCCTTTAGTGCATATATGCATGTAATTACAGGGAGAAGTGCACGTGAAAGGAAAATTAGTCATTCTAAAGCATGCATATATATAATTAGAGTAAAGTAAAGATCGTTCTTCCCTATTGCTAAAATCCGAATGTTTGGTAGTTATAAAAATCCCTTTTTTGAATAAATTCTAAAATAAATTTAAAATATGCGAGCAACAGTACTTGAATCTGGTGGGCTAAGAAAACCAATGTCTTCCTAACCACCCAATCAGGGGTTGGTTTGTAGTTTTTTCTTTTTCTTTTTATATAGGTCATTTGACTAAGACTTGGTTAAGTTGACTGAGATCTAGCCACATCCTTTACAATATATTAGCTTAAAAAATTATCGTAATTAATAGGAGAGGAAATTGTATTTAACCAAACATGAATATTTCGAGGAAATGTTTGGGCGAGAGATCCGTCGCCTTCTCTATGTCATGAGTGTCTTTTGTGTGTCTTCTCTCTGTGTTTTTTTTCTGCAACATTTTTGCGCGTTGTAAAATTGTCTTTTGCAAGAACACTCATGTTACAAAAAAGACAAAAAAATGCATGTATTTTCTAAAACATCAGTTGTGTTGTAAAAGAAATTCTTACATGACAACACCCATGTTGCAAGCTGCATGCACATTAAATATATCATTTTCTTAATCAGCCATCCTAGCATGGAGCATGCCCTGCGGCGTATGACAAGTTATCTCTCTCACTTCAGTGGAGTCAACGTGTTGTTAGTCGAAACAGACTGCTTGGAGGCTTTGAACATGATCAAAAAGGAACAAATAGACAGATCACAATAGTTTTCTAGTTTGTGAGATTAAGCTTCTTATGTCTCAGTGAAGCTCTTGTATTACTCACATGAAGCGATCTTAAAATTCTGTAAACCATGCATTGGCACCTTTTGGTAGGACGACGGGTCGAACTGTTGTATGGCTAGGTTCAGGCCCGGATGAGAGGACGGGAACTTGGTGCTCTCGGGTACTCGCGCACCAAATATGCCCAAAAAAATTAGTATTTCAAAAAAGT